ATAAATAATACCCTATACAGGCGACACAGATATCATACCCTATGGGAAGACAGAGTTATCATTCCCTATAGGGATGACAGAAATATCCTATCCTATGGGGGTAACAGAGATATCCTACCCTATAGGTGTAACAGAGATATCATACCCTATAGGGGTAACATAGATATAATATCCTATAGGGGCGACATATATATCATACCCTATAGGAATGACAGAGATATCATACCCCAAAGGGGTAACAGAGATATCATACCCTATGGGAAGACAGAGATATCAAACCCTATAGGGATGACAGAAATATCCTATCCTATAGGGGTAACAAAGATATCCTACCCTATAGGTGCAACAGAGATATCAAACCCTATAGGGGTAACATGGATATCATACCCTATAGGGGCAACATATATCTCATACCCAAGGGGTGACAGAGATATCATACCCTACAGGGGTAACATAGATATCATACCCTATAGGGGCGACATATATATCATACCCTATGGGAAGACAGATTTATACAGAGATATCATACCCTTTAGGGGTGACAGAGGTATCATACCCTATAGGGGTAACATAGATATCGTACCCTATAGGGGCGACATATATATCATACCCTATAGGAATGACAGAGATATCATACCCCAAAGGGGTAACAGAGATATCATACCCTATGGGAAGACCGAGATATCATACCCTATAGAGGTAACAGAGATACAAGAATGTATCATACCCTATAGGGGCAACAGAGATATCATACCCTTTAGGGGAGACAGAGATATCATACCCTATAGGGGTAACATGGATATCATACCTTATCGGGGGGACATATATATCATACCCTATAGGAATGACAGAGATATCATACCCCAAAGGGGTAACAGAGATATCATACCCTATGGGAAGACCGAGATATCATACCCTATAGAGGTAACAGAGATACAAGAATGTATCATACCCTATAGGGGTAACAGAGATATCATACCCCTTAGAGGATATCATACCCTATAGGGGCGACATATATATCATACCCTATAGGAATGACAGATATATCATACCCTAAAGGGGTAACAGAGATATCATACCCTATGGGAAGACAGAGATATCATCCCCTATAGAGGTAACAAAGATATCATACCCTATAGGGGAACAGAGATATCATACCATATCTTATACAGGGGTAACAGAGATATCATCCCCTATAGGGGAACAGAGATATCATACCCTATAGGGGAACAGAGATTTAATACCCTATAGGGGAACAGAGATATCATACCCTATACGGGAGACAGAGATATCATACCCTATACGGGCGACAGAGAAATCATACCCTATACGGGCGACAGAGATATCATACCCTATGGGAAGACAGAGATATCATACCCTATAGTGGTGACAGAGATATCATACCCAAGGGGTGACAAAGATATCATACCCTATAGGGGTAATCTAGATATCATACCCTATAGGGGCAACAGAGATATCATACCCTTTAGGGGTAACATGGATATCATACCCTATAGGTGTAACAGAGATATCATACCCTATTGGGGTAACTTGGATATCATACCCTATAGGGATGACAGAGATATCATACCCTATAGGGGCAACATAGATATCATACCCTTTAGGGGTGACAGAGATATCATACCCTATAGGGATGACAGAAATATCCTATCCTACAGGGGCAACAGAGATATCCTACCCTATAGGTGTAACAGAGATATCATACCCCATAGGGGTAACATGGATATCATACCCTATAGGGATGACAGAGATATCATACCCTAAAGGGGTAACAGAGATATCATACCCTATGGGAGGGCAGAGATATCATACCCTATAGAGGTGACAGAGATATCATACCCTATGGGAAGACAGAGATATCATACCCTATAGGGGTAACAGAGACATCATACCCTATAGGGACGACAGAAATATCATACCCTATATAGGGGCAAAAGACATATCATTTTCCAATACATAGTTTCAGTTTTTTACAATGCATCATAAGTTTCAGTTTTTTCCAATTCATATAGTTTCAGTTGTTGTCAGTGATACAGGGATCCTTAACCCTGGGATTGACTAAAGGTATAAACCCTGGGATAGTGACATGTGCACAGGAGTGTGTGTACAGACAAACATAAGCCACACTGTGACTGGCTATTGTATAATACACAAAAATAACCCATGATACAAGTTATTCTTGTGCTGGCATCCTTGGCTCATCATTCACATAATGGTTATAACTACTGATAACAAGGAATACTTTTGCTATAACAAGCATCAGAGCATTCGTATAAAGAAATCATAACACCAATAAGTACAGGATATATTATCAAATAGGCAAACACACCAAACAGGTATGTTTTGTGCACCTACATGTAAATAGCACTGTAAGGGAATGCCTTCAGTTATCAGGGTACAAAAATGTACTAACGTTAACATTACATCCAATTTGTATTATCAACCATTAATTGGGATTGCCACAGCGTAATTTGCTGTGAACTGAAGTTCAAATACACACTGACAGAAGCATTCTTTTTTATTGTAAGTTTAGTACATGTACATGCATTACCTAGTAATAGAGCTCAATTTTTATACTTAGTAATCACAAGGGGGTAATGCACCTCAGAATCACAACCTTAACCTAGCAAGCTTACCATTCCTAAAGTTCATATAGATAAAAAATCAATCAACATTATGCATCGTAATTTCATTTATTGCACCAAGATCATTTCTCAGTCTTATTACTTTCGAAACCAAAAAGTCCAGACCGGACACAGCTAAGTTCCCCGATTAGCATTTTAGTTTGAGGGTTGCTCAGATATATCTAATACAACCAAAGTGGAACTGACTATAACCTACTAAACATGACATTGTATTGATCAGTCAGCATATATATGATATATATATTGACTAAGCCATTCAGATAAAACATTCATGAATCTCAATTTAGGTTTTTCCTTCGAAAGAGATAATAGATTTGTGCAAGTTCCTCCTCGAACAAAGTACTATCGACTTTCACAGTTCCTATTCTCTTCTTTTCATTTTCCACTACCTTTATAAAAATACTTATCAATACATATGTAATATCAACATTTATATAATACAAGTCCCTTTTTTAAACAGGTGAAATATCAGTGAAAAGTGAAATTGAATTGTACAGTGAATATATAGTATACAACATTAACTGTTAAACGAAGTGAAAATGTGAAAAAAAGCTGTTGGAGAACAGTATAGCTCGCCAATTGGTGATATATGTTGTAAGATAGCAAATATCAATAGAAACAAATGTACAGTAAAACCTTGATATAATGCCCGTCATTTCATTTGCCACCTCACTTAACGTCAACATATATTCAGGTCTCTAAAGTATGTTTTTTTTTAATAATTCCTTCTAAGTTTCCCTCAATTTATCGGCAAACCCCTTTATAATGCAAACATTTCTTTGGACAAATGATGGCAATATAACAAAGGTTTTGCTGTACCTTAACATGTAAGAAGATATGACCAGCCAACGTGAAGTAATCAACAGCCTATTGATGGTGATGACCGATTCAACACTGCACAAAAAAAACTTGCCCAAAACCGTTAACCAGTTTTTACACTCCATATAAATACTCCAACCTTATAATACGCCTATTGATGGTGGTGATCCTATGGCCATATGTACTACATGTACATAAAAAAACTTGCTCAAACTTTTTACCAAGTCCAATTTTTTTTTTATTAAGCTGTTTTTGGCCCCTAAAATATGAAATATGGTTCAGCACATTGCTTACACTCCATATAAATACTTCAACTTTATAAGGTAATAGACAACAGCCTATTGATGGTGGTGATCTAACACTTCACAAAAAAAAATGCCAAAAAAATTAACCTCAAGCTTACCCAAAAACTGAAACTAAGTCCAATTGAGCTTTTTTTGGCCCCTAAAATATGAAAATAGGGTCCAAAACTTTGCTAACACTCCATATAAATACTTCGACCTTATAATAGACAATAGCCTATTGATGATGGTGATCTAACACTTCACAAAAAAACTTGCCCCAAAACTTTAACTTGAGCTCAACGAAGCTTGCCCCAACACTTTAACTTGAGCTCAAGCTTGCCCCAAAACTTTAACTTGAGCTCAAGCTTGCCCCAAAACTTTTACCAAGTCAAATTAAGCTGTTTTTGACCCCTAAGTATGAAAATATGGTCCAGCACATTGCTTACACTCCATATAGACGCCTTAACCTCATAAAAGACAACTGTGTATTTAGGGTGATGATCAAACACTGTCTGGAAAAAGCTTGCCCAAAAAGTAAAATCTCAGATGGTGGGACTCCGACACCGATGTGACTACATTAGCCCCCCTTTTCTCCGAATAGGCTAGCTAAAAAGGTATGGTGTCACCTACATGTATTTACTGCTTGTCATCTACACGTTTACATTCCCTATACGTGCTACCAGCCAGGCCACCAAGAGTGCTTAATAGAATTTTATAACAAACAAAAAAAATATTCATAATTATTGAATAAATATGAGATTAATATATCCGTCTTTCAAACGGGATTCATAAAGTAGTGGTGCTGATTTTTACTTACAACATGTTCCTGCTGTCTGTAATGAAATTATGAAGTAATTCAATTATACCTAGGTCAACTAATTAAACCATGCAGGTAAACTAATCACAAGACTCATCACAGATAAGCTAATAATAGATGAATTAATTACAGGTAACCAAATTACAGGTCCATGGCAAACTAATCAAAGCCAGATGCTTCCAAAAAGAGGAGGATACCTGTAGTTCATTATCTTCATTCTTCCCATCAATAAAGCTGCTCCAGGTACGATACAGCCCAGCCACCCTAAGCCAGACGTATACATGTAGCTCCAGGTACGATCCAGCCACCTTTATCAATCGCTTGTTTATCCGAACGTCATGCAATGATCTATATTCAAGTCATGTCGAATACACGTATTTCTATACAATTGAAATGGCTTTTTTCAATACCCACAATCACCATCACAATGAAGACACAGCCAGATCCAGTTAGTTGTTTCCCACCAGAGTTCCTGGTAGACAATTTTGATCTACTGACAGTGACAATGTGTCAAAAGTACACCAGTTATGAATCAATCCTCAGTACACTTGCTCAAACACACTTGATATTGATCCTGAGCGTCACAGAGAAACTGTTAACTCACTGTATCACTGACACAGGTACAACATTTCAGCTGGATTGTGTTGACATGTTCTCCTCATACAGATCTATATTGAATTTTAACACAAAAGCTGCATATCCTCATCTACAAAAATCCTACTGTGCACCATCAAGCATCCAATCATCTATCAGGAACATCAAATATCACCTTTAGAAACCATAACATGAAACAAGATTGTGCAGCTCGGTATCACGGCCCACAGGTAAGTCTAGGCATTCCTGAGGACATTTAAACAGCCATCCTTTCACTGGGAGAGATATACCTCAGAATGTTGTAGCAGCATCTCAAACTGCCCCAATCCCATGTCTGCCATTCCACTTATTTCACTAATTTTTTGAAATGACCAATTGAGAACATGCAGAGGTAAGGGTGGGGATGGCTACAGAGGCAATTTTCCAGCGTGTATACATCCTATAGGCACTTAGCACTGGTGTTGATGCTTCCAGTCTCAGCAACAGTTATAGTCTGTTCCAGAAGACTACCACACAAAACTCCACAGGGTGTACATGAAACTTTTTACTTGCTGGTATTGAGATCTAAGGCTAGTTTCAGAAAAGGATTCCCACTGAATCTCATTAACTTTCAAACATACAGCTTATTATCACAGAGGGATACGAGTGAGGTGCTTCAGTCTAATCTGTTACATACCAGACTTAGAACCAATATCACTAATGCAACATACATTTGCTGTATCGTTGGCCTAGATCGGCTATTAAACTTCTGTTAAAGAGGCTGGTCGGGGAAAAAAATACAAAATAAATGGGTCTAAATGCGTTCTCTGGCCTTCCAAAAGTTATACCACGGCAATATGATGGTCGAGTTCTGCTTGCAATGTCCAGTTTTGACCACTGAAATTTCTCGGGGAAGCCCCGCATAAATTTAGCGCATATCTATTTATGTATGTCACGTGGTTGTTTCGAAAGTGAGGCAGTGAAGATAACAACAATAGCACGCCGACATGTGCCATGTCGGACTCAACTAGCGGACAAGACAGCAATACTATATGTAAATAATTGTTTTCAAAGGTCATTATGATGCAAGTGTAGTATTCCTACCTATGTGTTGTTGTTATATATAACGGTATTGATACCTCGTGCCTGTCATGACTTTTGCATGCATCTTTTTCTTTCGCCGCGATGTTTACATTTGGCCTTGTTAATGACGCGCGTTCGGTAAAATTACATCACTGATCTTGGTCAATTGAGAGTTTTAGACTGTCAGGTGACGATTTAGGATTTCTTTAATATAATTATATCTTTTACTCCTATGGAGTGAATTTCAGCAAAATTTGAATCGGTATATTTCATAAGAAGGTATTTTAAACATGTGTATGCCATTTTAGCAAATATGACATTTTTTCCCCCATCAGCCCCTTTAACAAAAACCATAAACCAGCCACCAATATTCATCATGGGATTTTTTTTATTGTATTGTAAAAACAACTTATTTTGAATCATCTTCAAAATTAAGGTAGTCTTGTTCTAGATAGAGCTTATGGTGTTTTTTTCAAATGGAGATAAGTTTCCAGATTGCTGAATCAATATCATAAAGTGCCAGTACATGTATACAGTAAAATAGCTTTTGATGAACATGGAATGACTTATCAATTTATGAACTATAAACCTTAATGTATGAAAAAGGAGCAAGGCACAGGTAACATATGGGTGATAAATTATTCAAAATTCTGCAAACATACTGAATAGACCAACAGATTAATAATGTATACAGGTTTGAATAAAGACTCCCTCACATATATATATATATATATATAAATAAAACAAAACACTCACAGAAGACTGAAATATAAACTAGAACCATATAATATATATGCATTTATACTTTATGGTTTATACTAACAATATTTTAGACTAGCTTATGATAAAACATACTTTACCCCAGTGAAATATTGACTATCACATCAAGTATTACATTTATACACTAAAACTTTAATATACATAATTACCAATACACAAACAGTGTGCTTTGTATATAAAATTTCACTTCTGAATATCAAATTGTGAACAGAAGCACGGACACCTGTTTAAATAGCTTAGTCGTCGGGCGTGTCCTGCATTTCATGTAGGTCGTATATCCATATACGCAGGTATACAAGGATCCATCAAAATGCAGAGCCATGGTCAACAAAGGATCTGACTTATGTGTAAGTAAAATTGCCGTATAGGTGAGAACAGATCAATAATACTTGCCAACCGGTTATCAACACACTAAGTGGGGGGAAATCCGCCTTTGTCGGGCCCACAAATGGGGATCCTGGGAATGCGATCATGTGAAACATTACCGATGATTATATAATTAATTATTTGTGCTTTATTTTTATCAGGTAAAAGATGTTACTGGATATAATAAATGGAAATTGTGGGAAATATTTATAAGTGGGAAATCATACCTGATTGTGAATACTATATAAAAATTATATATGACAATTCCCTTTATTGTCAAGATTTTTTTATTAATTCCCGACCCCCCCTCCAAAAAAGAGAAATCTCAAACATTTTAAAAATATTGATGTTACCACTGAATAATATTCATTGGAGAAGAAATGTTGAAACATGAATAATTAAACACTGACAGTACATAACCTAAACGATGATACAGTAATCACAATGCCTTTACAGCCCTGTAAACTACTTTGTATAGAAGCCAATGGAATTGGTACAATACAGTGATTATATACTACACATGTACAATTCTCATTGTACAAAGACTAAAAGCAAATCTGCACAAACTCTGACTATATTTTCCTTTAATTTTCAAGTCTAAATTTCTTCTTTTTGACTCATTTTGCACATTTTCATCAATAAGCATCACTTTCAAAAAAGATTTTTGGATAAAAGAAATTTAAATGGACTAGCCACCAAGGTACATGTATGTTTCCTGTGGGATCTAATTGGTCTAGATTGCATCAAAACTCAAAAGCTTTCATTGAATTTTTCCAAAATTTGAAATTGTTCCTGAACTATTATGAATTCATCTATTTCAGTTTTAAGTTATGTAAATTAATCGTTTAATCCATCAGAATTTACTAACCTCATTAATTATATATATATCCGTAAATATGCACAAATCACATCAGTGCCCAAGATGGGTGGAAAGACAGAGGAACACAAACATTGTTATCAAGTTTGAAGGAATTTGGCTAATATTTGCTAGAGTTATTAAGCGGAAACTGCAGAAAATGACGTTTTTCGTTAATCAAAGGGCAATAACTCTGCCAAATGGAGTTCGATTAAAGTGGTTGTCAAACATGGCCGAGCCCTTAATGCGTTGAACCCTATAACTAAGTTTGAAGACAAACGTATAATATTTGCGAGAGTTAATAAATAGAAACTGCAGATAATGACTTTTTTCGTTATTCAAGGGGCCATTACTATGCCGAATAAAGTCCGCTAAAAGTGGTCATCGAACTTGGTCAAGCCCATAAGGCATTTAATCCTGGTTCCAAGATTGAAGAAAATTGGTTAACATTTGTTGCAGTTATTGCACGGAAACGATATTGAGGAATTGGTAGGTGCTAACTACTAGTCCTATGCCACCTGGCTAATATCACCCTTTGTGTGTATGCCTGCGTGTGTGCTGGAGATGTATTGTGTTCTTTTTGCAGAGGGACCGTGCTTCCATCATACGATACCATTTATAGTGCCACTTCACTTGAATGCTACAGGACAGATACCACAACATCCACCCCAGACCGTTTTATTCTCCATCTGGGTTGTTGGAGTTGTGTTGGCAGGAGAAAAAAAAATTCTTTGAATATTCTAAGCGTATAACAACATCGGGGATCAAACCCTGGCCACCTGCCTGGAAGGTCAGAGTGTTAATCACTCGACCAATCCACCCAAAAAGGATAAAATTACTTTTCGGTTAAACTGGTAACAGTGATTTATATGATTACTGGAGGGAATAGAACTGTTGAGTATATTAATTGCAAACTCTCATTTACAATATTTTTTCGTTTAAACAACTTATGCTAAGTTATATTTTGATGAACAGATGTATTTGACAGAATCATAGTCAAAATACTGTCAGGTTATATTATTGATCAAACAGTTGCCAGTCTGTACATGTGTATAGGCATTATGATGATGCATACATGATGTTGTTGTGTACACCTCCTACACAAGGCGTGCTTCAGTCAAACAGCTGATACACAAACATCAGGTACGACCTACAATATTATACAATGCAAATTTTAATTAAAATACACTTCATGTTCCAGAGGTACCACAGGAAAGAGTTGGTCTCTCGCAAACAAATATAGATCAGATGTATTTTATCAAATCTAAAACATGGAAGGGAATTAAGCACTTAATTATATATTGTGATTTATATACAAAAACGGTACTTAAGTACAAATTATGACCGAGGATGTTTAGGCCATCATTATGATACACATCATCGTTAATTGTGATAATGATGTATCATTAATGTGCTTGCTAGACTGACTAAAAAATAGCAATAAAGATTTCTAAAAGGTGGTAACTTATATTTAGGAAGAAATGGAAAACATTGGAAAACAAAGGTGGTAGCTTATATTTAGGAAGAAATGGAAAACATTGGAAAACAACAACATAAACCACAACTTCTTCAAACATGCTAGTGTGATTCTTTTATCTATACAATGTCCTTATAATTGACAAAATAGGATACAAATAGACTGAAATAGTAAGTCTACAGCATTCATGCCTAATAGAGTGATCAAGCTGATGTAATTGGAAGGTTAAAATATTGTATCTACGGGTAAATAAAAATTTAAAGCACAAGGGGGAATTTCGAAGAACAGGGAAATTTTCTTCTGTAATGGAGATCTAGACTACCCATAAAAGGAAGTGAATCAAGTCTAGATTGACCCATGTACGTGTTTTTTTTCTAACATTATTTGCTGAATCTATTTCTCAAATAAAAAATAAATTTAATTAATTTTACATTGTAATATGATGCATAATATAATATTCAAATGTAAATAAGCTTTCATAAACAAAAGATTTTTAGTATTCACTATGGTGTTACGACAATAAATATTTTTTGATAAGATAAGGGAATTTCCAAATGACGTACTGCACACAATAAAATTTTCCCAAACACACACCACACCTACCCACCAACACCATTCCCAAAATAGTAAGACAAAAAGCACTGGATGTTTACATAAAAATTGCTATGAATATTGTATTAATGTAAATATTAATACAATCTCAATTCTGGGAGAATAAATTAATGTTCTGAAAGTTTGAGTTATTTAACGTTCAAAAGTTAATGTCTGCTACTTTTGTTTTCGTTTGGCAATAAACCACCATGAGATAAACTTATAAAAGATTATACACGCATGTAAATATTTAGATTTGTGATAGAGTTTGAATATATATATATATTATATTACTTACAAATTCG